TAGAAGATAGTAGTGCTGCAAAACATACTTTTATCCGCTATAGTAATAACTTGATCACATGGTGTTACGAATGGGTTTAGCCAATGAGCGGCGATATCCATCCACCGCAGAAGGACCCACAAGCTTAAATTGCATTTATTAAATTCTCGAAGTCGTGAGTGCTACAGTAGAGGTAATTAGCGAATCGAGATAGTATATCTCGATCAAATAATGCCGTTCTACATATATTTGACAGCCAGGTTCTAGGAGAATTAAAACCCGTTCTTGAGCATTATTGCATTTCATTGATTAGCTAGTTTCATCTTCTGCGAAGTAATAAGCACTTGTGTCGGAATTAACCACGTCAATCTGTCCGGACCAGCATACCAAGGCTTTAACCGAGGTGGCACACGTGGTATACTGCTCCAGCACTGATAAGTTGAGATATATGTTCTGCAATTCCATATTACAGGACTGACAGCACCACCACTCCTCCCCAGCGCTTCGCATATTGTCTCCTCGGATAGCCCACTAGGCTTCCTTCTCATTTATCAGCTCTCGGAGGCTGCACTTCTCATGCAGCTTCCTGGTCAAATTTCAGTCAGAGGCGGGGGCGGCGCATTCAGAACAGTTCCCTTCCATTCCGGGTAATATTCCCCAAACTCAGAAGCACGAGAAATGCATCATATATGCGACGTATTTCTCTGTTTTCCAATAATGACTCCTCCAGGCCGAGACCCCCCAGCTACTACCTGGAAAGATTGGAACATGTAAAGACTCTTAATGTTGGCGGCATAGTTGTATCTCCAAGTGGGCCTGGACGGCAAAATGTTACCATTGGAGTCAGGATCCTGAACATAATGAGGATGTACTGCCTGTACGGGCTGGAGCAGCCTAGGATATGCAGTAGTCATATCTGTATATGAGCTGCTTTTGGCCATATTTGCGGAAAGGGTACTCAGTAGATATAGTATGAGTATGTCGGGGAAGGGTATAAATAGACGCCATCTTATAGCCAGTTGCCCCGTTGATGTTTCTCTACCCAGTATCAACACCAGAACAAGCCATATCGCTTTGAATTCCGGTCAATAAGGCGCAGGAGAGACCATGGATGCAATGTCCACGTAATTATGCATCAGTAACAAGGGATTAAACAAACTCCCTAACCCTTTCAAGGCTGAGCCCCGACAGTCTATGCACAGCATGCGTAGTTATGATAAAATGTGGCTTTCCCACCCATGCACGAAGCTTAACTCCTTTATCTTCGCACGGGTGTTTACATTGGTGATAGCAGCACCACTTTTTCCTGCCAGCCTGTCTTTTTGGTCCTTGACTTCCACTGCTGTGTCTCAACCAAAAATCTCTATCAATTCCATCGTCTTTGGTGGCGTTTCACGCGCGGGCCAACATGAGGTCCTGGCGCCCCAGCACAGTATCGGAATATGTATATTCCGAAATGAGCATGGGCCTCCCGCCAATCCCGTCCATCCATCCATCCATCGGCGCCTGACGTCTACCCATCCAATATTACCTATCGCAATATTTATTACCGGGTGTGTCAAGTTACAAAGCTTGAGGTTGATTCCAAAGTTGATGCGCAGCCCTTAGGACGTAGGCGAGTATGCTATAAGTTGCTGGCATGCGTGGAACCTGGAATACACGATAATAGGACACTGCATGACACTGATCTCATCATGATCCCTCTGTACTGAATCTCAGCCGTGCAGTGCAGCAGCCCTCACCTGATATGCGGTGGTAATTTAGACCCATACCCCCGCCTGAGAAACCCGAATACACGGCTTTTATACCAGGATCGCGCGATGGACGCACTATATACGACGCTCTTAGACGCCCCGTTGCTGAAGGTTAGCCGTCCGATTGCCGCATGTTCGAGATGCCGGTCATCTAAGGTTAAATGCGATGGCAAGCTGCCGGCATGTTCGGCCTGTGAGCGAGCGGGTAAGGCACGAAGCTGTTCTGGAGCTACGGACGAGTTTGCAAAGGGGAAAGAAAGGAGTTATGTGGCTGCTCTGGAAGCTCAATGTGAACGTTTAAAAAGCAGGCTAGCAGAAGTTCGAGGCACTCAACCGGGGGAGTCATCAGACGCATCAGGGACGACTAGTGGTGTATACGGCAAGGAGACATCCGACATTGATGATTTGGTTGGTGACTTTGGGTTTTTGTGAGTCAATCCACAGTCCAGAGTTGAGTAGGCCCAACTATGTCTAATATCAATACCAGGTCTGTGAACGCTACGTCTCGGGATTTCTATGGAATTACATCTTCAACCTCCTTTGCGGGGCTTCTCCTGACAGTGGCAAAGGGGTTGTCTTCGATTCCGCCATGCTTACGGACTGAATACCCGCCCCGGTCGCAGACTGTGGGCCTTGTGCAATATTACTTCGATAACCTCTATGTGTTAATGCCGTTTCTCATGGAGACCAAATTCTGGGCCTCATTGGATAACATCTACCAGGATAGTGGCAGATTTGCGACAAGCTTCGACCATTGGTCCCTTCGAATGGTTCTGGCCATTTCTCTGATGATGAAATCGCGAATGCACATGGATGCAGACTGCGAAGCAGCATTGGCCCATGTCTACGCAGCGTTAAAATATGCGGAAGACGTTTTACATCCGGGCTCACTGGCGGGTATCCAGTCTATCCTGCTGCTGACGCAGTTCTCCATGTTTGCACCGAAATATTATAAGACATGGTATTTGATAGGCATGGCGGCGCGGGTGGCCACTGACCTGGGTATCCACCAAGAACAACGGTCGATAATCAACATGGACAGCACGGCCCTGAACCAGTCACGGAAGACGTTCCATTGCCTCTACTCCATCGACAGGTGCGTACTCTTTGCGTAATTCTAGGAGATGTCAACTAATGCAATGTAGATACGTCAGCAGTGCATTAGGACGAGCATATTCGTTCTCAGATGACTCAGTCAACGTCCCTCTCCCTTCTACTACAACAACATTCAACTCCATAAACCTTGGGGATGCGATATCCCCCAAAAATATCAAAGCAGCAGCACAGATGTTCGATATACGACGGCGACAATCCAACTTCTACCAAGACCTGTATTTTAATGGGAGACAACTACTACCTGATGCCGAGAATGTCTCCTGGCGGCGCTGTGCCATGTTGATGGACTGGTTTGAAACTGCCCGATCAGACCTCCCGCCTCATCTGATACCACTATACCGGCTTGAGCTACTATTTACCTGCATTCTGGTACTCTCTCCATCCAAACGCGCACCAGAAATAAGCAAGTTCAACCAGATAGTGTTGTTTGAGTATACTGTTGATTTTCTAGTGGATTTCCATACGTTCCTCAACTCATCAGCGCCCTGTCTACCAGTGACGTACATTGACTTTGAGAGGGTGTACACCGTTTCAAGTATCTTGATGGTCACACTGGAGAACTACCATACCGAGGTACTAAGTGAGGCACTTCCAGAACACTTAACGCCAGCGCCTTCAACAAATGATATAGGCGAAACCCCATTGCCGCCATACATCGACCGGGCGAAACGTGTGAACTCCACCGCCCGCGCGTTGGAAGCCCTGGGCAAGACCCAGTCTATCCTTGAAGCCGCAGGGCGTAGATGGGGCTTACATAGCCTGCTGAATGATTTTAGGGGGCGAGTAGGGCCTACGACGTCGATACTTACCTACAAGTATGGAGAGAGCCATACAGTTGGTTCTTTGCTACAACAGCAGCAGCAGCAGCAGCAAGGCTCTAATGGAGTAGCAGGCTCGGGCTGGATACCTGGCCTGAGGGGGCCGTTTACTGGATAATACTCATTGATCCGCATCTAACCAATAAAAATGAATTTCAATGAAAGAGCTGCGCTAGCCAGAAGCGTGCATATCAAGATACAACACCAAACTACCCTCCCCTCAACAACGCAGCCAATCTATCCTTCTGACCTCTCTTCCTCTCCTTCTTCCTCGCTCTCATAACAGGGACAGTGTCATCATCATCAACCTCATCTGCACGACCAGCAGCCTCCACACCAATTGTGTGGCAGGCATCCCATCTCTCCTCATCCGTCAAAATATTCTCCAACCCTCCAATCTCCATAATTAAGCGCTCCCATTCCTCACAACCCATCGCCTCAGGGGGCGCTGCATAAAGCCATTCCCCCAAGCTCCGCAATTCTAGGATTCCACTCCCGTCAACGGTTGAGCTCAAAATGACTGAACGATAAATGGAGAAAAATGCCAGGAAATGTGCCCGCGTCCAGCCCGTGTATACCCAGTGCCGTGTGCGCCTATTAAAACGTGAGTATGGGTCAGGCAAATTGTTGTTTGCAGACAATATGTATCGTATAGCTCGCGGCGAGAGCTGGTTCGGCAGCACATTCTCACCCCTCGCGAAGCGATGGAACTGGACCATTACTTTAAATTGCGGCTCTGTGAGATCCCGCGGTAAGTACGGTGTATAGTACGTCGTGCAGCGGGGATCTGGCAGCCAAGGCTGCATGATGCGTTGCTCGGAGGTGACTGTTATGGATGCGGCACCCTCGTCAGGAGTGGCAAGGAACTCTCTGAGCGGTATGGTTGCGCCCAGGGGTCCAAAGAGACGGATCTTGGTTGAGGAGAAGACAGGGTGCGAGAGGGGGCGGACCACTGCTTGGATGGGGTCTGAGGTCTCGGGGCCGCCGTCTATGAGAAAGTCTGGGTTGACTCGGATGATGAGTCTGGACATTGTGCTAGTATCAAGTGGGCGAAGGGAGTGTATCTTTGTTGTATGAAGAATGGATAATGAATAGGGAAAGGTATAGAGAACGAAGAGAGAAAGAAGAAGAAGAACGAAATGAAGGGGGTTTATATAGCTGCCTCGACCATGGCTCTAGATTGCCTCCCTCCATCCACGGCCATCTAGTTACTCAAGTCTACCTTCACAGATGCGACGGAAGCAGTGAATGAAAGTGAATAGAGCTATGTAAGTATGCTATAAACAGAAACCATGCATTAACAAGTGAAGTTGGATGGAGTAAATAAAGAGGCTTGACAAAGCAGATCAGGAAGGAAGAAGTAACTAAGCGCCGGCTATTAACTTCGATCTTGAGCCTCATCCTTTCTTTTCTTTCTGCCTAAATTAACTACCGACACCCGCCTGCCGCCGTACGACAGACACCCGGGTGCCTTGGAAGCGTAGCACATCCACCCTACCATGCATCACATTGCATGCCGGGAGAAAAAAAAGTAAAAAAGTAGCCAAACACCGTCGGCAAAGTAATAGCCGAGGTGGGTCGGGGAGCTCCGTATATATAACCATTAGTTAAATATAAGGCATAAATAAAGACAGCCATTGGCCCGTCTCATAATTAACCATCCACAACATCCTCATCACTGCTAAACAAGTAACTAACTACTGTACTTACTTAACCATGCCTAAACGCATCATCATTGACACCGACCCAGTAAGTATGGCCACTTTATACACTCTTTTAGCCAGCATGTAACTAACTCCCTGCACCCAACCAGGGCGTCGATGACATCCTGGCCCTCCTCCTCGCCTTCTCCGCATCCTCGGCCGAGCTAGAAGTAGCACTCATCTCCCTGACGTTCGGCAACATCGAGATAAAGAAGTGTCTCCGCAACGCGGTGTCGGTATTCCACGTTATTGAGAAGGAACTCTCTCATCGCGGGGAGGCGGGGAAGCACGCCTTCTCTGCGCTCAAGGCATGCCGACCCATTCTTGCCTGTGGCGCCGAGGGCCCTCTGGAC